TGGTAGGTCTTGATAATGACTTCTTTCAGCTTTTGCTGTCTGGTGTATTGTTTTGTTTTGCCTGAGAGATGTATGATAAAAGCAGTGGCCTTGAGCCTAGTCTGGTATTCGATCCATGCATTGCTGCCATCCCAGTATTCTGGGAACCATCTCTTGGAGACAATCAGCAATTAGACCTTCCCTCTCCTTAGGCAACCTGCTGACCCTGAGTCCCCAGGGATCACCATATAAATGCCAGCCTTAGTATGAACCCCCACTTGGCAGAGTACACTGCAGCCTAGAACTCCTGGGCTCAAGCAGTCTGGCAATCTCCACTTCCTGAGCAGCTCAGCTTGTCTTTGGAGCAAGACATCTGGTGATAACTATAGCAACTCAAGGCAAAAGGGTTACTTTGGCAAGACACAGACCTTGAAAATGGCAAAAAACACCCCACAGCTTGATGTAACTTGTTCGTATCTTCAGTAAAATTAGAGAACGTACAATGCCAGACGTCTCAATTACAGGGACAGGTTGTTTCACAGAAAGGGGAGAGAATACCATGTCTCTAGTTTGCTGATCTACACCGTCAATATTGTTATTATCCACCGTTACATCAATGTGGTCACCAAGGATATGAGTTTCGGAGCACTGATGATCAAACTTTGCTCTCTGGGAGATAGTATCCTGTGCTTTTGAGTTACCTAGCAGAGCTACATCTGTTAGGATCATCTTGGATTGCAAAGATGTACACAGATGCTCCAAGGATTTTGTGTCTTCTGACAATCTCATTACAGGGTTAATTTTCACGTTTCCTCAAGTGGCACATGGAAAGTGATCAACTTACGGATTTCATGTGCAGAATCTAACAGAAGGTATCATATATTCTGTTATCTGTTATGAGTCCACATGACTCCAACATGGCTCAAATAAACTCCAGAATTTGCACAGGATATAGATGGGACAACTGATGGTTTACCAGCTATCCAGAGAACAAAAAAGAGCTAGGAGAATTTGGACAAGGTGACGATCTTCTTCTCTGAAAATCTTAATAGCCATTTATCCAGATACAGATGGCACTTGTTACCCTTTGCAACAACCTTGGTGAAGGCCTTGAAGGTGTGAGAACACCACATCACAGAACTGTATTGGAAGTGGTCCCAACAGACAGAATATGCATGTGTTATTGCATTGTACAATCAGGTATCTTTAAAAATAAATTACATTAGTGTACTGAAGTTTGAGAGATGAGAACCACTCCTACTCAAGGAATCTCCAATAAAACCTAGAGTCACCATCTGAACTATCAGCTGCACATGGAGGTCTGAAGCAAGGTACCTTTTTTGTAGCTGCTATATTCTGAACCAAAGAGGAAAATTTCTTCACTTTTTCCAGACTGGGAACTGGTTGTAGCTTTCAAAGCAAGAAAAGAAGTTACTCATTGCTAAAGCAAATTCTTATAAACAAGGGCTGAGAGAAGAGAGCGTACCAAACAGACATGAAAATCTTCACATTGTATCCAGGATCCCATTGTTTATGATAAGGTTTTTCTATGTATGATTGAAGCACTCAGTTTGAAAAAGAAAGAAGAGAAAATTCACAATGTCCAGCTACACTTACAAAAATGCTACTCTTGTTAAAATATATGACACAATGAAAGATAAAGGTTGCTCATCTTGTTGAAATTCTACCTCTTCCTCTGAAGACAGGTAGTTGCAGGTGAAACATTACCTCTGATAAACAAAACTGAAATGCTCAAGAAAACACTCTGAGAATAAAGTTTACTTGGGAGTAAGTAAAGGAACGTCACATTTCATCTGTTTATTTTTTGCATTATGAGATGATGCCCACACAGTGGTTAAGTCTTCAGAAGAAGACTGCAGATCTCATGGCACAAGCCAAACGTTTACAGATCAGTGGAAGTAGTCAGTTAAAACTTCCATAAGGCAGAAGAAAAATAATATCTTGAATCCATTCCCAAGCTTCAGAAAAGTCACACAGAAGACATTCCTATTTAGCCAGTAAAGAAGCCTTAACTTAATTGAGGGAGTATATCTTCTTTTCAAAAGCATTAAGACATTTGTGACTCTCCTTTAAGTTACTACTGTAAGAACACTTTCTCTTCTTATTTGACAGCCACCATAGGAGACAGGTTTGGGGGAATTTAATGAAATTGGCATTTCATAGTGGGAACATAACACTTAGGATCAAATCTCCGTATCATAGGCTTATTGGATAAGCGACCTAAAATAAGAATCGTTTTAAAGAAAGGTGAGAGAAAGAAATGAAAATTGTTTAGAAAAGCCAACACATCAGTTGACCACTGTATTAGAAATCCTACCAAAACATAACTACGACAGAAACACTTTAAAGAAAAGTACTGATAGTTGGACACAAACTTAGAAATTCAGTCAATAAAGATGAATTGGGAGCAGCTGAGCTTTGGTTTTGACCCATCTTGTACAGGAAATGAGGCTATTCAGACTGCATGTGTCCCTAAAATCTCAGGTGATTGTGAGATGTATTTCTTGCATGTAATGCATGCTCTAAATAGGAAAGATATACAACTAAGCTTTCTAGGAAGAGTGTTGGAAGACAATTCTCTGTCTTCTTGCAGCCTAGTAGGAGGTGGACAGGCACTCACTGTTTATTCCCATTGAAGTAACATGTCAGGACTCTGTCACTATACAATTAATCAAAACAACCACTCCGATTCTTAGACTAACTTGAGACAATGTGTTAATTTTAAAAATCATATTCTGATGGAATATAGCAATTAAATACAATACAGCAATTCCTCCCTAATACAAAAGACCATACAGAAATCACAACATACTCAGAAAGGAAAATGAAAAATAAAGCATAACTATATTAAGAAAGTTTTTGAGAGGATACAAAAGGTTTGCAGTATCAGACTAATGATCTGAGACACAAAATATTTCCAATATAAAGCAAGAGATTAGTGGCAGATCAAAGAAATTAAAGGTTTCTGAGCAGAACCAAACATCCTGCCTCTCTCACAGCACTTAATGGCAAGCTCCCCAAGAGAACCGTAGATAGTTATAGCCTTTGTTTAAAACACTCCTTATTCAGCCAAGAACGCCAAAAAGATAAAAGGGTATTTTCAAATAAAAAGCCCTACAAACAGCACTCTTCCTTTGAGCTTGCATTCAGTAACACATAAGAGAAATGCATGCAACTTCTAATTTTTAGGAGGGATTAGCAGTTTCTTTCTCCCCTAAGAACTAATACATTTCATGCTAGGTCAGTTGTCTTGAAAGTAGAATTGAGAGAGTGTAGGGGCTCTATAAAATAGCATTCCAGAAAATCCTTCTAAAAGTTAGCTTAAATTATCATAAGAAAGCAATGTACAGAAATCTGCGATTCTATCAGGCTGATTAAGAATCCTGTTTTTCTCTAAAGCAAGATTTAAAAGATAATTCTTCTGAATTCGTATTTTTCTTTATAAAAAATACTTAAAATTGAATTCTATATTCATCCTCCACTCATTGTTTCCTTGGACTAGACTAAATAGCAGTCTAAAAAAACCATTTGCCCTTTAAAGGATGTCTTCAGAGCATTCTTTGAAGACTTAGCTCCTGGAATCCTTCATTACTCTGAACTTGTCATAACTATTCTCTGGGTCTTGAATCTGAACTTTCACATGCCTTTCTTCAACTCCTGAACATGTGGAAGGACAATAATCAGGACACACTCACAACAACACTAATTATATATTAAATAGATAATGCTCAAAGGATGTTTCCTGTGAACTTGTCCAGTCTTTCTAGGATGCCTGTAAAGTTTTAATGTACAAGATGGTCTCAAGTAATAATGCTTCCCAAATCTGTTTTCCAAGAACTCCTCTCTGTCTCCTGATGTTCTGCATTTGCCTGTACATGTTCTTACAAATATGAGATTCCTCTTTTAGCCTATCAGTTAATATTTTCACCATGGGCAATATCTCTCTCCATTGTCTTACATGTATGATGAAATAAAAGTTTTAATCCATCAAAAATACGTCAATGAAATTGAAAATAATAAATTTGCAAAGCTACGGAACTAATGCTAAAATGTTCTAATAATCCAAATAAGTAGTTCCATCAACATCAGAACTAATGAAGCCTGGTTTCTTACCCATTTGTGTCCCATAGTTGATTTACTTCAGTATGTAACGTGTGAGCTCCAACTTGGAGCATTATTAAGGAGTATGCACATGCCTCCTCCTCTCTTCCATCTTTTTATTTCCTCCCTTTGCCCACATCTCTCATATGGAATTTTTGGAGTCTAGTAAGGAATATTTTCATGCTGACAGGATGTCTGTATTCAACTCAGTCATCAATTTCTACAAAACTTTTAAGAATCTAATTATTTTCAAGAACTTTTCTTTTCAGTTGACTTTACTGAAACCAGACAATAAAATCCAAAGTTACTAGGGGGATAAAGAAGATAACCTGTCAGATACATAAAACCAGCATACACCTAGTGTCTAGAGGAAGAAGGAATTAAAAAATTATTTCATTTGCTGTTATATTATAAATGCACTGAAAATATTATGTACAATATAGTTTAAAGCATAGCTATTGGGACTCAGTAAATTGAGAAGCTATAAAAGATGTGTGCATAATGTCTTCCAGGAATTCAAACAAAACAGAGAAAAATGGTAGTTCAGAGTCTATGTTTATAACAATCATATATGAAAAAAATAGAAATTAAATTCATAAAAATTTTTACCAAAATGTTTTGGGCACTGAGTTTCCTGTTAACATACAGAGCATTTCAGAATCTTCCTCATTTTGTTTTAAGTGTCAAAGTATGTATTTGATCTTTTGCAGAATTTTAGTTATTTTCCTTTCAAGTGAAGGGCAAAAAAGTTAGAAGATAAATTTCAGTCTGAAGTGATTTCTAATTATTGAAATGTTAAATTACAGACAGACTTAAAATAAAAGAAAGATTTGATTTTGTAGGCATGTTTTCAGTGAAAAAATATTGCTTGCTTCCTAAATTTACATTGCAGGCATTACCTATTTCCAATTTTTTGCAAAAACTCTTCATTTTCTCCCTCAAGTTCTTCATTTTCACATTTCAAAATGTCCAGTGCTTCACTGATATTGAGAAGCTTTTGCTTTAAATTCTGTAGATCACTTTCCCCGGTGGATTTCTAATGAACATTGAAACATTAAGACACCTTTAGCATAAGTTGAAATTATTTCAGGCCAACACAGAAAATGCAAGTATGCAAGCATTTTTGCTTCATTTCTATAAAAACAATAAAAAACTTACTAATTCCTCCACAGCTTTAATCACTTCAGAAGAAGCATCTGATATTTTTACGCTCTCACCTCCTTGGGCAGCTATTTTATTATTCAAATCTTCTATCTAGAAAATATTTTGTAAAAGAAGTAATACAAATATCTCCTATATTTCTTTGTATTAATTAAACAATATATATTTTAAAATAAATTTAAAAGGAAGGCTATTAAACAGTAACTTGAGATATTTCATGCTATATTATTCTATGCACATGGCCATTGCAATGTATCCTAGCAGAATCTTCAAACTTCACAGTATCAGTAAGCACACACTCACAGCCTGCTAATTCATACACGACATACATGGTATAATTAAGCAGAATACTTCAAGCTCCTCTCAGCCTCAAGATTTTCCTTGGTATCTCAATATACCTATTGACTTAATACAGATTCATACAGAGATTCAATGACGGATCAATCACTGGAGCTTAGGGGAAAATGAGGATGTTAGGAAAGCAAGCATCTACAGGATGAGGAAAACATCTAAAGTGGCTTTAGGTAGATACAGGCATGCCTGCTCACACCAAGCCTAATGAACTTTGTTTCCTTCAGCTCTCTTTCCTCTGCAGAGGCTGAAACAACATACCTACCCTGGCAGAACTTACCTATACAATCTCCATAGAGATACTGGTATAACTGGAATATGACAGGACAACAAATGTGTCCAAGCAGGATCAGGGTTGATAAGGATGTTAGCATAAATGTAGAGAATACATGTGGGAAGATCAGGACAGAATTAGGACACAAGTACTCTAAACGGCATGTAATTTCCTACTGCTACCTCAAGAATCGGATGAAGAGCAGATTTACATAAGACTGTATGTGGCTATGCCCCAGCAGCTAAGGAAGGAAACAATATAGGCTTTGTCTTGTTGTAATGCTCCCAATAGGACATGTATAAAATTTAAAAACCAGGATTAATTAAAACAAGGAAAAAAAGCCAGGAAAAAAAAAGCAGAAAAATATTGTTTCATATCACTAATTCTATCTTCAAACTTGTTGATGTACATGACAATTATCATGTTAGAATTTGGATCCAGTCCAAACCCCACTGAAGTCACAGAAAATAATCACAGTATTTTCCCAATTCCCAAAATAACTCCATCAGAAGAAGCACTTTGAGCTCTCCGAAAACCCACTATTATTTGTAAAGATTTATTCAGCTAGTTGGTTCAGTCATGTTTTTTGAAGGAAATTGACAATAACAGAACAGCTTTATGCTAAAACTAACTCTGGCTCATCTTTAGCATAAACTAATCAAACCAAAGTTGGTCACCAAATGGAGCAGTTCCATGCTCCACTTTATCCCTGTTGCACATCAAGTAGCCAAGTAGTACCTACTGAAGTATATCAGGTCAGGCAAACCAGCTGGAAACAAATCCAGAAAGAAAAACAAAACAAAAAACCCCCAAATGTTTACTAATAAGTATTGGCTCTATTTGAAAGTAGTGGTTTTCTAGTCATCAGTTGGTAGCAATTGCTGGTGCCATAACAGGAAGAAAACTGTAATACACAATTTGAAACAAATGGCAAGAACATGCCCATTGGTTTCTGTCTAATATGACTGTATCTTTAGTTTTGGGGTGTTTGGGGTTTTTTTGTAAAGTTCTGGGCATGCTTTGTAGATTCAGCTTCTCAGAAATACTTCACCTAGATTCTGGATTCCACTGGATCCTTAGCAGGACCTAGCTAGCTAGATGCACAAACCACAACAGCACTGGGCATGTACAAGAGAATGAATTTCATACTTTATTTATACATATGTACATACACATACATATAAAAAAAGAACAAGTTCTGTTGTGGGCATCTAAATCCTGTTTTAGGCATTTTCCACTGGTTCCACATACGGAGTTGTCATTTAATTGAGAACTCCTAGTCAGGCAGCATGGGGAACTCCAGTTCAGGTTTTAAACTGCCAAGTACAACAAGATTTCAAAATGAATGTTAGACAAATATAGCCAAAACCCAGGGGAATTTTAAGTAAAATACTCTGCATGGTGTAAGAGTGCATCATGTGCCATGTCAGGTCAAAAAATCTACTAATTCAACAGGACACTTATGCTGTCCCACTAAATGCACACTTTCTTCCAGATGATTTAAGAAGATAAATAATATTAAGCAGATATGCATCCAACAGCTAAAAATATCCCGGTCACTTAAAGGAATGTAAGATGATTATGATATTTTTAATAAATAAAGCTGAAAAATAATACTACAACAGAAGGATGAACATAGAGTTCTACAGAATCTACCACTTTTTATTTTTAAATCAGTATTTGTATTTTTACTTTTACAGAAGACCTTAACTCTTAAACATACAAAATATTCAGGCATTCATGTACTTTTCAATAAAAGATACTCATTTACTTGCTTGTTTATAAATATTCAAGACTCACTTTGCTGTTCCAACATTTTGCATCTTCCTGGATTTCTGCTTTTTGCTTCACTAACTCCTCAAGGTGTTTTTCATCCTTTATAATCTTCTCCTCTGTTTCTTTTAACTTCATACAGTATTCGGTCCAAATAAATTCAGAATGCTTTAACTCATTCCTAATAGAAATACACACAAAGTGAATCCATCTATTTGGAAATATTCCAAGGTAGTCCCTCTCCATAAAGGAAAATGTAAAGCAGATCTGAATTAGTAAAGATTTATTTTGATTCTCTACTACGTTTCTTGAACAGGTATGCATGAGAGAATTTCTAAATATCTACGCTGGCAGGTTCATACAATTTCAGCCAGATATCAAAACTACTCATGCTACCATTTCACTTGCACTGAAACAGCCTGCCAACATTACAACTTCTATTTGGACCTCTGAACAGGTATTGGTGTAGTTAAGAACAAGACTTTGTTTCATACCTCACATGATAACTAAACAAAATAGGAGTCAACTTCTTTCTCTGCTAGTGGCTGAATCTAGTTCAGAGCCATCTTCACTTAATCAATCCACTCCACTGTCATCTTGTGGACAAATGTCATTTGTGAAAAAAATTTTTTACTGACGTCAATTCCTTGTGTAAAAAGGAACTTGCAGGCAGTAGGCAAGGTCAAAGGAGGGGATAAGGACCTTACTTTCACTCTGAATAGCAGATTTATCAGCATTATGAGGAGGAAAACTGGCCATAATTACAGAAAGAGATAATAGCAACTACAACAATCGTCAGGAAAACACTACCACGAAACACTGTTAGGCCTCTTTATAGACTTTGCACAGACCTTTTGTTACAGCCATGTGTGAGAATGGATCTGGTGAAAGGCGGAAGAAATAGAGGGACATCAGGTTAAAATTTTACAATGACTGTTGGTACTCGTCCATTATTTTTATTATTGTTTCAGAAGGCAGAAAAGAGGAATTTCCCCCATGCTCCCCAGAGAACTATCTTGGTCAGTAACATATTCTGAAGCATGCCTTAAATGGCAAAATAAATCCACCCCAGCAGAACTAAGACCAACAGTAGTTGAATTTTAGAGGTATCTACTGCATTACAATCCAAATGAAACCTGAACAAGTTTTGCATACTTAAACACAGCAAAACAACAGAAAACAATACTGAAGAGACTTCATCACTAATTCAAGAGCCATTCCTACAAGATTACTTGATAGACACTTTTTCTTTATTTGCTTCCAAGATTTCCATCTAGTGATGGAGAAAAGACTTATTTGCAAAGTCACATTCCAAATGTGACAGAATATACATAACACAAGTGGGAAACCTAACACTTCGAACACCTCTACTTTCCTGGTCCCAGCACCCATGAAAGAAACATAAATGATACTTGGAATTATTCTAATGACAGACACGTAACAGTCATAGATTGTAATTTTCTTCTCAGATTACCTACCAGCTTTCTAAGTACAATCTTAATGGAAAAATACAGTACAACCAGCCACAGCAAATACGTGTAAAAAATAACAGACTGTGCTGTGCGATGTACCCCAGGCCTCAGTATTTTGAGCTTCATGCAATCTTCATCATTTTCTCACTGATGGCACTGAACATAAAGAAAAGAGTATCAACTACAGAACAGTCTTTCAAGTCTGTGCCATCACAAATCTGTCTTTCTCACACCTATCAATACCACATGTTATTCTAGTCCTCCTCAGATGGCAGCTGAAGGGTCGACTTCCTCTGTAATGTAAGCATGATTTTAATTACCAGTCTAGCAAATGGCTGGGAAAAAGAATCAATTTCTTCACTGAGGGGTAGAAAAAAGGTCTTCTACTCAACTTTTTCCCATAAATGCTGATATTACTAAAAACACTAGCATCATTAGCATTTTTAGTTTAATTTACATTCAGACAAACAAAACAGGTTGCAAGGTGCACAACAGTCTACATCACTGTCATGTGGTATGAATAGGAAATCACTTAACCAGGTGAAACAGCAAACATACATGGTATATTTCTATCAGTATAGATGATGAATTTCCAGTATTAGTTAACTGTTGCTATTATCATGGGGATTTTACTTACATTATGACTTGTTTCAAAAAACCACGAGCTCCTGTAAAGCAATTTTAGTGTAGCTCAGAATGAAGGCTTGTTATAGGAAAACACTACATTTTCTTTCTTGCACATGGAACAAACTCAAGGGCCTTGATTTCCGCTAAGACTACAAAAACAAAACAGGAAAACTACCCACACTGCCCTGCAATTGCTAAGCAAGCTGACAGCTGTGACACAGTGACAGAATTCTAAAGGGAACTGAACAAAATCCTGCATAAAGGACTATTAAAAAGTGAAGTATTCAGAAGGCGAGATGAAAAATTCTAATACTAATGAAAAAATGCAGAAGTAAGATTAAACGATCAATTTTCATTGAAAGAATAGGTCAACAGCATGGTATCTCAAAACCTCATATCTGTTGCCTTGATATATTTACAAATGATCTGAAAGGGCAAGGACTAGTGAAATTAAAAGTCTGCATACAGTGTGATTACAATAGGCAAGGCCAAAAAGAACTAAGAAACATTTCAAGACAAACTAAATAACTGGAGAACACAACAGCATGTACCATTTAGTGTCCAAACTCAAAAGAAATATAAGATCAGAGAGATTAGGCAATCAGTACACCTTAAAAATCTAAATTAACAGTATGAACTTGACAAAGACATGTATGTATTTCCATAAACACTCAGAAGGTCTACTCAACATTTAGCACAGTTAAAGAAGCTAAGAAGATGTTAGAATAAGTAAGAAATAGAATGCCAAACATTTGAATAAAAATGAGAGTAAAATGTCCCTGTTAAAGTCATTGACATGGCTTAATTTTAAATACAATTTGTATTACCTTTCAACCCATTTCAGAAAAATTTATCACAGAAGTGAAAAGGAGCCAGGGGACATTCTGGAAAGGTCATAAAATACACAAGTATTTTGAAAGCATGTGGAAAATAATGGGAGTTGCTTTAGAAAATAGATAGGAAGAAGGAATAAGGTAAGAATCCAAAGCTATAGGGGATATAGGCTAGTGAAGAAGAATCACAATACACAGCAATATTTATCACTGCATACATCTTAAGGCTTAGACTCCCAAACTGCAACAATTTGCCTACAAGAAGAGAGTAACAAATCGTTGCTGACCACACTTTGTAAATATGAATTGATAAGGAATAAAGTTTAATAGTAGGCAAATGCTGGAATAGTTAAAAATTAAAGAAAAGTTAAATCAGTTACTTTTAACATTATTTAATCTGGTATTACATGATAAAATCACCTCCAGCAATGGATCACTATAACCATGGCTAACAATTCTTGTCAGCAGCTAGCAATTCAGACAAGCTGACAGAACACTAAATAGGCCAGTGAAATACTAAACTGATTTGCAGAGTATCTGAATACATAGTAATAAATCACACCACAGTTTTGGTAATACTTCTTACTCAGGACCTGATCTTTCCTGTAATTAAAATCAACATGAGGTTTGCAATGAACTTCACCAGTTACAGAATCAGGGTTCATGCTGTCTGATTTCTCTAGCTGGAACCCACAGAGGAGCTAATGAACATTTGATCAGATCATCTCTATATACATATTTAAGCTATAATTAAACTTCCAAACACTGTGAAGACATTGTGAAGCTTGCATTCACAGGCTCATATCCATCAAAAGTATTATCTTCTACTCTTCACACACCTCTTCCTTTGTTTAGACATATGTAGTGACTTTAATTGGAGAATCACATGCTAATTTCCAGAAGTCACTCCAGCTTTGACAAGTGTTGGTATTACAGAATTCTGGTCTCAGGTTTTGCATAATAAAATACTCAGGTTTTAGCTATATTTCTGACTACAGTTTTTATTTTCATATGCTAATATTCTTTCCAGATTGCAAGCTAGGCTCTGAAATGAAAGAAGTTAAGCTTTAGTTAACTAAACACAAATATGTTGACTGTGAATCTTAGAGGTAATAAAATATAATTAACTTAAATACCTCTAATATAGTGTCAAAATTACCCTGAACTCAAGAAAAACAAGATCAAAAGTTCACTGTAAAGGTTAGAATCAAAAAAGGAAAAAGACATGCTGACAAAAGAAACAACTCAGACAGAGACTTATTTCTCTAGTATTGCTAAGCTATCCATCTTACAGAAAAATATATTTTTTTATCCTATACTGACTCATCCTTACTGAGACACAGATAGTTTCGATCTTATTACAAGTGCACAGACACTTTATGAGTGCAAGACTGGAACTTCTTGAGCAGCAACATCGTTTGAGTAAATTCATGTTAACTAGGATGCCTCTTGCTCCCGTATTAAAGTCTAGACATATTACAGAAAGAGCTATGAGCTTTCTTTAATTCTGCAGTTTAGTGCCAATGGCAAAGAGATCCACAGTGATATGGTATCTTAAAGAAACAGGATTATTGCATCTAAATAACCTTCCTTTCTTCAAAAATGTGTCAGTAAGGTTTCTGCTCTAGCTGACTGGCAAGCACAGATCTCCCTGGATAGCAGACATCAAAAGCACCAGCCATATTAGCCAAAGTAATGATTTCCTGAGGTTGATACCTACCCCAAAATACACTGTAAGAGTGCTCAGTTTTGCAAAAGTCAGTGTTACTTTGTGCTGCAGGCTTAACTTACAAGATTCTGAGGCAGGCAATAAGTACTCATTTTGTGGGGCTGAAGAAAGTGTTGCAAGTTCCTGAGCACTAATCAGTTTTTGAAGTAAAGTTGCCAACATGTTATAATCTAAAGAAACTGGAAATGATACAGCCAACACCCATTATTTCAATCAGGTGTAGGTCTTTACCATGGCCTAGTAAGCACCATAAACAGTAAGCAAAACAATCACACTTACCAATTCCAATTATTTCTTAAACAAAGAAATGAAAAGAAAATCTAAACCCAACCGAAAACAGCTGCTATGACCTCTTGTTTATGTCTGAGAGTGGGTCCTGTCACAGAGGGGATGGAAATACCTCACTCCTAAATTCTACTGTGTGCCTTGTTTTATTCTATCATATATAACTAAAACAGTTTACATATAAGGTTAAAAAGTATAACAATTCTTCCTATTTGATACATCAAATAAAAAGGTCACTTGCAATACCCTAACCTCTCACAACTACTCAGTTATTTGAGGATTTGGTGTTGGCCTCCCTGGTAGACAAGCTTACAAAAGATATTTCACTGACAGAATGCAGTAATTACAATGGGCTTGTATATAATTATACTGGTTTTGGCTGGGATAGAGTTAACTTTCTTCACAGTTACTAGTATGGGGCTGCGTGTTGGATTTGTGCTGATAACAGTGTTGATAACACAGGGATGTTTTAGCTGTTGCTGAGCAGTACTTGCACAGCGTCAAGACCTTTTTTGCTCCTCAGACTGCCCCAACAATGAGCAGGCTGGAGTGCACAGGACATTGGGAGGGGACACCACTGGAACAGCTGACCCAAACTGACCAAAGGGATATTCCATACCATATGTCGTCTGCTCAGCAATAAAAGCTGCAGGGAGGGAGGAGGAAGGGGGTCGTTTGTTCGGAGTGATGGTGTTTTGGTGTTTGTCTTCCCAAGTAACCACTATGTGTGATGGAGCCCTGCTTTCCTGGAGATGGCTGAACACCTGCCTGCCCATGGGAAGTAGTGAATGGATGCCTTGTTTTGCTTTGCTTGTGTGTGTGGCTCTTGCTTTGCCTATCAACCTGTCTTTATCTCAACCCACCAGTTTTCTCACTTTTACCCTTCTGATTCTCCACCCCATCCTACTCGGGGGAGCGAGCATGCAGCTGCATGGGGCTCAGCTGCCTACTGGTGTTAAACCATGACTATAAGCTATTCATAAATGCTTACTTTCTGTCTTTCTAAAAAGTCTGGCAGGGTGCTGCTGGACTGTAAACATGCAAAATCTGTTTATTTCTACTAGTAGCAATTTCTAGAGTTTGATATTTTCTTGACAAAGGCGGGTTGACATGTGGCATAAGATTCTTAGATATGTACAGATAAGAACCATCTTTGGCAAATAGGCTTTCACTGAGGAGCATTGAGTAACAGCTCTTACAAATACTACATCTGTGCTGGTGTGAAGAGTAGCTCTTCTAGTTCACAGTCATATTTGGAAGTCACATCATTCTACAATCACACAATAATCTAGCAGACACAGATGGCCCATCTCTTTGAGGGACCTAACGTTACTGCCAGGAACTTTGTGAAGTCTAAATTCCACTTTTAGTCCAATAAACATAATCCTTCTCTAAAAACGATCAGGGAGTATTTTGTGTTCACAGTACTTCCTGCGATATGAATGGATCAGTGTATGGAAACAGACATCCTGCAGTAAGAGAACCACAGTATCTTAATTAAAAGACCAAATGGTTGTAGAAGAGATACAGCACTAACTTGAGATGGTACATGTATCTTTAGATAAAAGACACCCTTCAAAAATTAAGAAATTCTGTAACTAGAAACTTCTCTTCAGCTCTGTAGTTGCTCCTTTACTGCTCTTAGGTAAATTAATGAGGCCAACTCTATAGTAAATTCTCAAGAGAATGATCCTTGAAAAGAAATGGGAAATGGGAGTTAGATGGGACAGTCCCTGGCAGTGGTTTTGCTGGATGAGAAATTAACACCTACAGAAATGAGGTTGCCAAGGACATGAGTTTGCACGTACATCTCAACCATTAGCATTAGTCTTGCTGCCTTGAAGGAAGCATCAGCGAGCAGGACAGGTTTACAGCCACTACTGTATATCAGGTTCTTTCTAACATGAACTCTCTGGAATACCAAAAGAGTGCATGCTATCCCAGCTCAGGGAGTACACAGCACAACTTGAGTTATGGAACTGGCATATAAATTCCTAGTGAATCTAGGTAGTTCTGAATGAATAGGATGGACCAAATTTGATGACTTACTACAAAATGTATAAACGTCGTAACTGCCATGTGCAGTTTTTGAAATACCTGATATTTGAAGAACAGTTGCTGTCACATGCTGCAGTACAGAAACATCTGTTACTGTCAGTAAGGTTATCTCAAAAATTTACTGATGTCTTTCAATTATGCCTGTAAGCTTTCTTCATCTCAAGTGAAAAAGAGCCACTGTGTCACTTGCTACTTTGCCAAATAAAACCTGGCAACTAGCCATAGGCATATGCAGCAAAGTCAAGGGCAACCTCCTACCAAATATAAAATATTTGGTTTTCTTGTTCTTTGGCATAGTTATTTTTGGTGCTGACTCTTTTTCTGTATGTTCAGTGACAGAGAGACTTGTCAGTGACTGGCCATTAGTGGTATTCCACTGTTACTAAAGCTCTACTTGATAATTCAGGGGTTAATAACCTGAGAAGAGGTTACAGTGAAGAAACTGCAACGTACAACATTGCCATACAGAAGCTACCTTGCAATCCAATAAAGTTACAGTAATTTTGATTGTTTGCTAAAATAAAGAAAGACAAGGTATTTTGAGAAGTTCAAAAGTATGTGGTATTGGCTAGAATTGTTCAGGTTACATACAAGTTCAAAATTAAGTTATAATTATAACATAAATATGGCACTATGATAAGTGCTGATGTTCCGTGCAACTAATCTGTGCAGCTTATAAGAATGATAGCAAAAAGTTCTGTCAAAGGGATTAAAAATTCCTTCGTAAGGTCAAAGTAAAGTAAGGCCTAAGTAAACTAAGGTCAAAATGGAATGCTTCAGGAGTCGATTCATGGAATTGTCCATCTGGGTATATTTCCGGACATCATCCCTCCCTAACGCAAGCTAAGACAAACAAGGCAAACACTTCTTTTATGTATAATTCTATTAATTTAATTTTACAAAAATCAGAATTTAAAATTATTTCTAAAAGCAAATTTTCTATAGTGTGATTGTCATTATTAAAACTAACAGGACATTATAATACCATATTGAGTAGCTCTTACTTGTATTGACTCAATAGCATCTCAGCATATTTAATTTTCTCATGCATAGATTTTATCTTCGTTTCAGATTCTTCATCAATTCTTTTCATTGCTTTTTGGATTTCCATGAGTTCACAACAAACATCACTGTATATTTTTGATGTCTAAGAAAATAAAACAAGTTTTCTGAAAGATGTTATATAAAGATCATACATAATGTTTAAAATAAAAAATAATTTCAAGATTTCTCTGATTCTTTGCAGTTTAAAGTTGAAGTAATACTTTGGGACGTCATACAACTTAATAACAAATTCTGCACGGTCTGCAATAGACCTAGCAGAAGACAACAGAATGTGTGCTATAAAACTGCATAACATAAAGAAATGTTAGCAAGAGGGCTTTCATACTGTTACAAAACTTTGAAGTTATTGTGAAAAGGTGGCTACTTCCATGGGAAGATAGTGACCTCTGGAGCAGAAAGAAAGAAATCATGTTAAAAGAAGCCACTGAGATTTCACTCAGTACAGAATCATTACTTAAACATCCCTTACAGGATGTGCAAGATGGGCAGTAACCTCTGTAAAAGAGGGGCCTGAGACAACGCAGACAATGAACGCCAATTTTCAACGGTATAAATAGCATTGGGACACTCAGTTCCTAACAATTGTCAAACAGAGACATCCATATCTCTACTGTCTCTGCTTTTTAAAATACTCTAACTATGAACAAATAACATGATATAAAATCTTTTCTATAATCTAGCACTTCACTGCTCAAACTAGTTCTCTGGATATTAAAAGCTAGAGATTCAAAATTAAATAATTGTTTTAATTGCAAAGAAAATTAAATATCAGCTGCTTTTCTAAGGCCATGGGAGGAAAAAACAAACCTGAGTAACAAACAGCATATAAATTAGAGCACAATAAAAGTCAAATATTTTATTTGATGATTAGAAATTTAGTTGAAACAAAATATATAAATGTTACAGTAACACCAAACCTATCTTCTTATGATATGTAGTGCCACATTTTGGAAAGAAAGAAAGAAAAAACCCTCTGAAAACAAGTACTTATTTAAAATAGTCTTTAGAAAAAAAATATTTTAAATCTACTTCCTGAGTTGTACTTTAGCACACCTCAATATTTTAACTGCATACTAAGACATTAACAAGGATACAAAATAAAAACAAAAATAACCAACTTGATTTTAATTAGCCAGTATTTTGAACATATCTCATAACACTGATAAAACTGTGAGTTATTTCATAGGTCAGAACTAATTAATGATAATTCTCATATTACTTATGTATTAGGCAATTAACTCTTTTTAATTTTAGAAGTATTTTGACATGAATGTTGAGTCCTCAAAATATGAGAAGCTCAAAATAAAACAAATTAAAATAAATAATATTTATTAAGAATCATCTACAAACAGAAAACCATTTTTAGACTGTAAGTACCTTGAAAAAGAGATTAATCTCTGGATTTGTATTTAAAAGTTACTATAGAAAATATACAGAAGACATAAAAATTAGTACTAAAATCTGTACTTGAAGTAGTACCTCCCTTTTTAGACATGAATTTTAAGCTACCTACAACTTTACTGCACTTTGGTTATTCAGCCTGATGTTATTCACATTAGGAATTTATTATCAAAAAATAATAAATTATTATCAATAAATACTATCAACAAATAAATTAGGAAAAATGTACATCAGCATCTAAAAATAATTAAATCTTACAAACATTTTTTGACAGCTAACATCTCCATATTCTGGAACAAATGCTGATGTCTGTGAGAGATCTGAGAAGAATCTATGCAAATATCAGCTATGTGCCTTCTACACTTCCTGTGAAAAATCCCACATGAAATCAACTTACAAAGTTAGAATTATATTCCGTATATGCTTAAGAGACATTTATTAAAGGCTGACAGCATTATCCTCCCTGAATTCTGTCCGCACTGAATGCCTATATGTAGCAGTACAAGCACATAATTCACAGTCTTTGTGTACAAAATTTAAAACAGAGTTTGGCACTTCCAGAAGTTCTCTAGAAGGGTACGCACCTATGTAATGGAAAGGTTCTAAAAGAATCTTTGTTTTAATTTACCTTTTCATAAGTCAGTAACACATCCTTCACAGCTTCACCCTCTAGATTCAGCTTTTCTTCCAGCAGAGGGCTGTGTTTCTTCACGAAGTCTATGTCCTCCTGAATCTTTCTGTTGACTGTTTCAGTCTTAAATATTTTGTTCTGTACCTGTTGCAGCTGACGGCTTTTACAATCAAAATGCCATTGTAGCTCCAAGGTATCTTGAACACACATTTCATATTCTGTTAAAAAGATAATTAGCATAAGAAAATGAGAGTATCTGAGTGACACCATGAATATCTAGGGAGATTAGGAGATATGTTGTCATAATACTAAGTTCAAAAGTTACAAAATTTTGCTGGAAACTACTTTGAAGGCCAAAAGAGGACACTGGTTACAAAAGACATCACCAAATACTGCATTAGCAGTGGAACCGGTTTTAAACTCACTTAATAATCCTAGTGCGTAATTCAAGCAAATCTTCAAAGTGAGGGGTGGGGTGGTTTTTATGAAGAAAATTAAAACATCTAGCCTTAAGACATATGTAGAGGATGCTATTATAAACAAGAACAGCTCTCCTGAGCTTCTAGTCTCCAGCAACAGACATATGTAGATGCAGAGGAAGAACAGGGCAAGTATAAAACTGACATCCTCTTAAAAGGCCAACTATTTTCAGTTCAGGGACACTTCCTGAACTAAATGTGGCTTCAAGAAAGCTAAACTAAAGATACAAACTCAAAGCCAACAAACAAAACATATTCATATTGCCACACAGAATGTGTGTCAGTCTTAGTTCAGTTTGCTGCATTTACTTCTCTGACCTTGGCTTAAATTTCTTATGGGTCTTCACAAGAAAATATGTGACTGGACCACTGGTTGCTGAATGACAACATATATTTTATTCTGCTCAGGAAAAAAAAAAGCTTATTAGAGATTGTGTCCTGCAGCAGCTGATGTTCTATATGGAAAAATTATTGGTATGAAACTAGGGAAAGTAAAGTAAGATTATCAGATAAGAAAAAAAAATCAGAAAATGTCTCAAGAGCAGTAAACTTTGTCATAAATTTGAGAGAGAGAAGCACATGCTACTGAGAAAAAAAGGCTGTCTAGCTCTGAGAACTAGCTGTGGAATATTCAATACAATCCCTTAATAGTCAATAAATTTTCCTGTGTTAACAAGGCATAATCCACAACTTTACAAAATTATTATTTCATTGCTACTAAAAGTTAAAGAGATGTTGTATGAATAAGTGGTTTTTCTACATCATACAAAGTGATACTTAACATCAGGATGAAAAATGTGGTTTACATTGGATTTTTGTTATATTTCAGAGAAGGTAATTCCTGAAGATAGGTTATGTCGCTGCAATTACCTGAGTGTGCTACAGGACATAGATGCAGCAGGAGCTAGCAATAACAGAAATCAAGGGAAATCTGAAGAAATAAGAGGATTCAGTGTCTACTCTGAAGGGGTTATGAAAACTCTTTATTAAGAATCTCCTGGGTTTGTAATACTTAGATTAGGGATAATTATAACATCCCTGAGGGTCTTTTCCCTTCATCCCCAATTGCATTTTAGCATAATTTTTGTCTTATAGATAATACTATGGAAAGTTATAATCCTGAAAATTACAAATTTACTCCAAGGACACAACGTCATACTGACATAGCCCACTGATAAATCGAAGGAGAATAATTGGTTAATTTTCACAGCCAAACTTCATGATGGTTTAATTTGCTTTTTTTTTAAATACTGTACTATTGCATATATTAACAGAATTGAAAATGCATTAATTGTATTCCACTATTCCAAACTTTTGATATTTATAGAGAATGCTAAACAGTAAAGTGAAAGCAACAGGAATGTATAGCAACATACAAAAATGATTCACAGCTGCATCACTGTAGGTAAGTACATCAAAAAGTAAAAAGTAACATCTCTGCAGCTCAAATCATGAACTACTGTGCTGAAGAATGAAGATTATATTATCAACCTTCTCTTCTTGCAGTTCTTTGCTTCTGTAAAACTGACCTTTCCATTGCCACAGGATTTTCTCCTGAAAGCAGTTTCTAATCTATCAATGAATTTCAACTGCAATTCCGTATTCAATCTCCTCCTCTGTTTTCAGGTCATCATAAACTGTCCATCAGAGGCAATTGCTTTTAAGGAAAGCAATCTCTGCAAACCAGTAGCACCTTAACACAGGTTTATACTTTCCGAGTCAAGAGTTAGTCATTGACTAAAACAAACAAGCAATCAAACAAACAAACATTGTTCTCATGTATTGTTAGGGATGTACACTATGTGACATTTTGCCTTCGGAGGGTGGGGACAGGAGGGAGAGGGGGAGAGAGAAGAAAAAAGCATTTGGGACTAAACCACTCCTGGCTTGCCTCCATTACACACTGATTTTCACTCAGTGTTTACCCATCAATAAACACAGTTATGGAAGACTCTTGCACTGTCACCACACTCTGGATTGTGAGGTATCTCAGGACGATGTGCACCAGAATAAGCACTAGAGTACTGTGATTTTACATTTGGGAGCCTACTGTTATGAATTGTGCAACTTTGCTGAAAGTCTAGGTTCAGACAGTACCTGCCTCTGACTGTGAGTCAGAAAACAAACAGCAAACAGCTGCTAAGTAGCTGCTTTTTTCTTTTTTCTTTAATTCTATTGTGTAGATGCCAGTTCATCACAAAAGGTAATAGCAAACATCTTGGAATCTGGGATTTCAAGGAGACCTATCAACGGTTATGTCAAACAATTCCTACTAAATATATAAGTACTTTATTCAAGTTTATCACAAATTTATTTATTTTATTTGTGGTTTAATCTGTGGTTTAACTCAAATGCATTATTTCTAATTTTGTTTCAGCTTCTCATTCCTTGCCCCAAACAGTATTTATTATCATCTTAAGAGCATCTTGTCTACTTTTATGCTATTTCTCAAACAATGCTGAACATTCCACAGCACTTTCCATATTTTTTTTCTGGATATGTATTCAAACATACCAAATTCAGAAGAGTAAATATTGTACTCCTATTACAGTAAACATAACTATAGTCATACCATAATTCTTATTCTTGGTAATAAACTGACTGAAAAATAACAAATATTCTTAGTTTCAATTCCAATACCTTTTTGAACGGCTGCAGGGAGATGCTGAAGTCTCCAAAGTGACATACGATCAATTTTCATGACAAGCTTTTTCCTTCGCTGTTTCTCCAACTCTAAAGCTTTTTCTGCTTCCTCACAATCAGCTTCCAGCCGCTTAATTAGCTCAGTAACTTCCAGTAGCAAAGCCTCTGTTTCCTGCTTCAAGGTTAATGTCTTGCTATCTTTAAAAATAGATAAAAAAATATTTTTTATGAAAGCTTAATCATATACTCTTTATTTGAGATTTATTCTCAACAGAAAGTTGGCCCGTTCACATGTATCACAGTAAGCACAATTGGTTACATTGCTGTCTTTAGAAATACATTATAATTCTTTCTTATGAAGGCTTAAACATATGTTCTTTATTCCAGATTCTTTCTCAAAACAAAGTGAGCCTCTTCACATCTATCAGGGCAAGCATAACTAGTTATAAAAAAAACTTTCACTTTCAATAGCATTTTCCTCCAGCTTATTTCCAATGCAGAGTGCAACAAAAATGTATTAATATAGATGGTACAAAATTCTCATCTTTGCCTTGTTGCTTGAGTAAGTAATCATCCAAATAATAGTACAAGTTCCTAATCATCTCAACTTTTTAAAGAATACTTATTTCATTTTATTTTCCTAAATAAGTATCAATGACTTCATTGAAGTCTTTGGAGTCCTAAGAATATTCAGTGTAACATCTCAACAGCACTGTTTTACTTATGATATATACAGATCATCAATATTTCATTCTGTGAAATATGGCTATCAAAAATGTGTCAGTTTCAATGAAAGATTCTTTGAGGTCATCATCCATTGTCCTAATCTATAAAAACTGGAATTATATATGCTACAGAGTCCAACACATTTCCATTTTGATTCCACAGTCAGTAATTCCCTAAATTATTTTGACTAAAAACTGCCAAGCATTGAAAAGAAGGACAACTACTTAAAATCTGGAGTGCAATTTTGGCTTCACTGCCACCAACAGAAATTTTATCACACCATTTACTGCAGACAGGATCGCCTCAGGCTAGCAGTACTTAAAAAGTTGCACACTGGCTTAAAAAAAATGCACACGATCTCTTCAATATTATTCAAAAATAAATTATCTGAATAAAGATGTGAACTATAGAAAACAGAACTCTACCTTGGGAGTACATTACGAATACCCTATAACAGCGATGCAGTTATTTGTTTTACAGAAACTAAATGAAAAAAACACATAGAATTTCCAACAACCAACATAACTAGCTCAGCTGGTTCAAATCCTAGATGGGTTAAACTATAGTATGAATCTAAATACAGAAATGTAAATTATCTTCTTGGAAACAGGATGATTTAATAGTACTTAATATAACATTTAAAATGTATGTGTCTTTCAGCTTGACAGGTGGTACACGCAGATTTCAAAGGATACTCACATCTTTTATATAAGACAGAGCATGCAACAAGCAACTACTATTATGAATGCAAAGCATATATTAAATGAGGATAAGTAACTTTTACCACTCAGACTGAGTATTATGAAATAATTTTTACCTTCACAAGATATATCAGCTTCTTTAAAATCCAACTTAGTGGATAATGGTAACCACCTATCTTTAATAGATTCAGTGCTGGCCTGTTTTGTTACCCTGTAGATAAAAACCACTGTCACTAAAAAATTTTAGACTGAATTTAGATTAGCATTGTTAAGTAAATATTACTTTCACTAAGTCACTATTTCCTCTCCTGAATTTTACACATTTAAATGCTGGCTACTTAAATGAAATAATTGTTAAAAAACACTGCAAGTCATACAGAAGAAATATTAACTGTAAAATTCCCATATAGGTGCTTTTCTCACAATTCTTTGCAGAAATACAAGAAACAGATTTCTTTATATCTTGTACTTACACAGATCTTCAATTTTTGTCCTCATACCCAAGGAGGTGCCAAAGAGAAACTGTTACAGGAAAGCTGTTATTCTTTCCAACTTCTGAATATACAGGAGCAATATATGCTATACTTTTCAGACTCTTCTAAGTGGCAGAAGCATTTAGTGCTGAATCTGTGCAGACACAGATACATTGCCACTGCAGGTCAGGTGTAGTTTCAGTTTTACCCATTTAAGGGAAGTCATCACTTGAGGGTCAACAATGAAGAAAAAATATTTTTTTTAGAGATGCGAAGGAAAAACTATCAAGCCACAAGGTTTAATCAGTTTCCCACACAACAGCTTTTGACATCTAGGGGACTCAAAAGCAAACATGAGGAGGGCTTTGTTAAAATGAGATTAGGACAAATTTAACCTGCAAGTGAGAGGGTGAAAGGAGTAACACCAGTAGTCAAAGAACACCACAAGCAAATTATAGCCCTTATTTTAACTTAAGAGGCTCATTAGCCTACTGGAGTTGAGAACAAGGGGAGGAAAGAACCACTATCCGCTTATGCCCACATGTGTGGCTTAAAGAGCACATACAGGTTCTTCATATGCAGCTAAGATGAAATAAAATCTGCAGTCACAGCATTACATCGGACATTTATGCACATATATTCGAAAGAACTCCACAAAAAAGTTCCTTTTCCATGAAGAAATAACAACCAAAAAGCCTATGCCAAAAACAGACCAAAAGAAATACTATTGAGGCCTTCCTAGATGAACAGAAAATACATTTAAATTACAGAGAATAGAACAAAAAAATCTGTGCAGTAATGGAAAACAGTAAGACATTGGACAGGAAGACTGGGACCTGGTGATGGAAGAGATATCAAATAAGATACAGAAGCAGGAGTTTGATAAACAGGAGTTGGATAAGTAGGCAAACACAAAATAACTCAATAGGTGTGTCTGACATGAAGTAAAAATATAGAGGAAAATAGAGGGCTTGTTGAGAAAAACAGCCAGGACAACAAGCTCAGTGCATGAGATACATTCTCCTCTTCAACCCCCTCTTTCAATCATTGTAAGTAGAACTACATCATAAAGTAGTCTGCATCATGAATAATACAATTTAAAGTCACACATTCGGACTTATTTTGTGTATTTTCTAAGTACTTGGCTTTGAAATACATTTGTACTGTATTGTATTATATCCTAGGTTAGGAAAAGTCTGAGTTCTTTAGTGTATTTCAAAATACATGCAGCCAATATGTAAAACTTAGAAAAAATCTGCATGAGTTTTATGTTTTAAAATTACATTTTAAATTTACATTTTAAAATTACGTTTTAAATGTATAACTTTTAACAACTCTGTATGTATTCTAGATTATCTCCAGTGTAAACATATCTAGAAAAAACAATTCTTTGACTTGTTATTTTTAATTTAGGAATTATGTTCTGTTTTAACAATAATCGTCTCTTGCTCTCTAACTTTAAAGATACATAGTTTCAAATACAATTTTGTCACTCAAACACCCTAAATTTTTTTGAATGAAACATAAGTAGCTGGCAAACTACACTGAAAACATAAAAATCATGCATTTAATAAGAAACTTAACAGTATGCGCAATAGGAAAACCAGGAAAGAAAAAAAAAAAGAAAAAAAATCTTGTTTTTTTTCCTCATCTTATTAGAGCACGTGATCCATAAAAGGCCATTTCATTCAAACTTTTTTCATACTCCCTTTTTTAATTACTTGTCCTCTCCCTGAATCTAGCCAAGCTGAATTGAGAGTAAATTTGACCCTCTATGCAAATTCAGAAAATTGTACACAGTATTCCTAAGAACTTCACAAAGATATAAGTATACAAGAAACATTCAGAATGCTTTTACATCATGTTCCAATGCAAAAAAAGAACTTAAAATAAGGTTCCTTACTCATATTTAGGTACCTGACAATTGGCACAATTTCAGAAGTGTCAATAACTGAACAACTGTTACCAATAGAAATCGATCACTTAGGTGGGTCCCGAGACATGCGATCATCTTGAATCTTTGAAAATTAAAACACTGAGTAGGATAGGAAAGAGATGAGAAATTCTCCATAAACACTTTTGGTCTTCTGAAGTAACTAGATCATGCAGACACTAAGAATGCTTATTTTAAACGCATTCTACATTACATTAGAAGAACTTGGTAAATTCTATAGTTCACTGAGCAGACTTTATAGCCAGACTAAAATCTCAGCAAATAATTACCTAACATTAAAACAAATGCATTATTTTATATGATTTTGTATGTATGAATCTTACCATGGTATTTTCTCCTCCTTCAACACATAACCATACTGCAAAAGCAAAACATAAACTCCATTATACATCTCAGATGTTATACACTTCTTCGGTTTCCTAACAACGAGCATAATAGCCCACTGAATTTAGTATCATAATAGGATCTAATTATTGTACATGCAGATGAATTCTTTTTAACATATTAAAATAATTACAAAGTTTTAGAATTCCTAAAAACTGTGCATCTCCAAACGGTTTGTAATAAAACTCAGCTTTTGTACATAAATGTTACGTATTAGTCAATTTTGTAGAATGTTTTTTAAAAATCCCTTGATATTCTTAATTCTATTTTCACTCTTAACCTCTGTACTTTGTTTTTAATCTCAAAACTACAGCAGAAATTCTGTCTGAACTTCACATGCTTTTTCTTCATCAGGGCTATGTCTACAACAGTAATTTAAACACTGCCAGAGAAGTTTTCTGGGCCCAGCAACTTGATTACCTATAGCATTAATTTGTTACTAAATCTTACTGGTAGAACCTGTGGTAAGGGACATTACTACATTCACAAACGATTCTCAAACTCTCAGGTGGACACATTCTTGATAACACTTAACTTATAAGCAGTTCATAGATAGGCAAATAAAATCCAAACTCCCTATATTTGTAGTATAGTAATTTCAGTATATATTCAGTATATATTTTATATATATATATATTTTACTTTTAAGAGCATTAACAAAGTACTCATGCTACAGCAACACTACCTTTTCTCCTCTTAACTCATAGTTATAATGATGTCACCATCTAAAGGCCTCAGACTATTTTGAATCTCTCTGTATACCAAATAACACAAACTTATAAGAGATGTGGAAAATATGCACAAGACTTACGCAAACATAAGCTACATTAAAATGAATAAACATCTGGACGTGTCAATGCTTATCCATCTAATTCATATATATTGATGAAGAAATTAGGACATTAAAATAATTACACTATTCTCACATTATTTTAAATAAAGGTGAATGAGACAATATAAAATTTCCTATCAAATTATTGCCTATACTGTAAGGATGAAGGTATAACGGTAGTTCATGCACCTTGGATTCTTCTAGTATCTATGCTGCAGTTGCAGAAATCTCCCTGCAGAGTACTTAACAGAGACTGTGGAATACTAATCTAAAATAGTGTTCCTGATGTGCTGCTGTGACAACATTATTGTCAGTATTGGAGATAAATTACTTAAAATAACTTGTCTGTGCAAGCAGCAAGCAAATCTTCTTACTGCAGTGTAGACATATGCAAAATTTATTAACATTTGGAAAACACTTCTCCAGCAAAATTGAATTATTTAAATGATACTAATCATGTTCTCAAAGAAGTTAATGGGAAGATTTTACTATATTTTAAAATGTTATATATTGCATTCTTTCTTCATCTACCTACCTGATTTTTTAGCTTCCCTTTATTCTTTTTTCTATTCACACAAAATCTATACAGGCTAGTAAAACATCATGTACTGCTAGAGAAAGAACCATAACATTTTCAAATTCATGTCTCTCAATATGAGAGTAAAGAAATTTTTTAATCGAGGAATTGTTAAGTACTGTTCAGGAAAAAACATTGCTTACTACCAATGACAGAAAATGGCACACAACTCAATTTGTCTATCTGCTCAAGATTAGTATCAAAACTATTTTGCAAACAATTGATATCATTGAAGCAACTTGACTCTGTGTGCATCTGAATCATCATACATGAATTTACTAATCTTTACAGTATATTGGTATTAATTATGATATTGTGGTACATTGATTTTAATAAGACAGTTTGATTTGCCAAAACTGTTAAGTAGAAGAAAAACATATCATGACCAGTAATTGAACCTGCTGGGTGCTATTTCAGAGAGTACATTAGACATGAAGTTAAGTTTTTATAAAAATAAACGTAGTAATCCTATCCTATTTAAGAATATTTTTGTTCCTATAAAGCTAAAAAGCCTTGGCCATTTTCTACCATAAATATACCTGTTGAAAGCATTTCTCCATCTTTAATTCTAACTCTTGAATATGATGAATAGCTTTGTTAATACAGGGTAATGGAGTATTTACAAAAGCACAGCTACGTTGCCTTGTGGTGATCCACTTGTTCAGATCTGGAGAAAGAAAGAGAACACGGAAGGTTGCTAAACTTCATGTGTGGGCACGTGTGAGGTTTTCTCATACCTGATTTTATTTGTTTAATTTGGAACTTGGTAAGCTTTGGTCTTGAAATTAATTAAGAGAATGTAACAGCTACATCTATTACTATGCACACCTTGTATACAAAATGTTATTCCTTTTTGAATACAGTCACAAATACAAGGAGAGAGGTTAAAAGATGTTTAAAGAATATGAAAGAATAATTTGAAGGAGATGGCATACGATAAAGGGAGCAAGGGTCAAAATACAATTTGCTATAACTAATTTTACATAATTAATCCCAAATGAAATGAGTTTGATGATTTTACACTAGCCCTCAGCAAGGATATTGTCCAAATAGTAAAATAATATCAAAACCCAAAAATGCAAAGGTGGCAGCTACTATAGAAATGCCCAGAGCAAAACAGAAAAGGTCACAGGACCTTAGAAGCAAGCTTAGACTACTCTTACGTATATAATACTTAGTTCCAGCAAATGTTTGCTTCAACCTTATGAAGGGATGAAGTTCCAGAACAGTAGTTCCCATGCTGGGAATTTAAAGCTACATGACATAAATTAACTGTTTTATGAGAACACGAGGATTTCACAATTACGTTTTCTTTAAAGTCTGTTAGCCTTATAACCACATAAATAAATGATACTGTGGCACACTATCGAATGTTAACTATTCAATTAATACATGGAATGGGAATCTGACTGCAGAGGTCACTAATGAAAGGTGTCAGGAACCAGAACAAGACACTGAAACTTAGCAGTAGAGCTATTAAAAAGTCTAAGAAGCTGTCCTACAAACATGAAACATTAACCTAATTATGCTCAGGGGGATACAATGCTTTAATGTGCCTTGGAGATGAACCAAAAATAACAACAGTAATAGGGATTAAACTGTAAAATAGAACCAGATAACCTTCATATACAGTCTGTGGATTTGGTTTTTTGTTTTTTTTTTTTTTTTAAAGAGTAATCTCCTGGTGTCTTAATTAAAATGTCAACCTAAAACATTAAAAGTCTGTAGGCTACATAAGGCTCTTTTAAATTTATTTTATCATGAACAGCCTTACTGGAATGGAAAAGACAGTTTACAAGATTTTGTTTAAAAAGACAGCCCACTAAAACGGATAGCAAAACCTATTTCATAGTGTCTTGCCCTGCCTATTCCCAGAGCCAGAAACCTTCACAGTATGCCTACATAGCACAATCGTAACACAGCATATATAGACTTTGTATCTTTCTTGTACTCTGAAGCACAACACAGAGAGACCAACACTACTTTAATTTCCCCTAGTTGCTTCTACTGTTATTATTCTTACATTTTACTAAATTAACTTTGTTGTAAAAATTATGTTTCTTTTCTTTATATCACTAATGCAACTGACAATGCCACCATTTAAAAAAAAAAATCTGAAAATTTTGAACAGCTTTAATAAAAAAAGTTTACTCTCTTACTGCTTTGGCCTTCCTTGGTAAATGCAAACGTTTATACATGCAAGTCTTCTAATCCCTTTGTAAAAGCAAGCTAGAAATACAACTCAGTGAGAAAGTGGTATTATTTATCATTTCCTTAAAATCTAAAAAATAAATTTAAATTACAAGTGAAATACAGCTAATTTTGTTTTCAAATAGAAAACTGAACTATCATTAGAGGATGGAGTGCCACCAATAAGTCAATGACTGACACTCAAAGTCTACAAATGCATCATTTGTATGAAGGTTTTTCAAGCAGTGTGACAGAAGAACAAAGAAAGACGACTAGTGTTATGTAATGTTACAGATAAAAAATATAAAATAATTTCTTATATCTTAAATTTAAGCCCTTCATTAAACTATTTGAAAACTGTATAATGGAAGACGCATCTGACATACCTTGGGATGGCTCATTACTGTCTTTAGAAGAGCAGGAAAATGACTGTGTTTCAAACATTATTGCTCGTAGTACTTTTCAGCCTAATGATTAGGAAAAAAATAACACATATATGTATGTACATACACCCATTTTAAAAAATCTCATTTTCATCAGCAAGAAAATAAATTCCATCAGCGATATATCTACAGTATTTTTAAAGGTTAGCAAATCCATTTTCACTTTTCCTACTAAGAGAAAAACAGCAATTAAACAGATGGCAGTACAAATCACACAGTGGATCCTATTTAAGTAATGAAATTACAGTTAAAACTCAAATGAAAAACAAGACTACCGAATTTCAACCTATGCGGCTTGGCTTTTTAAATTATACAGGTTATTTTGGAGCCTATCATGACAGTGGTAACCAACACTAACTAGAAAAATGTGAAAAACAAAGTGGATAACTTATGAGATTAATTTTAATTAAACTAACTATGGAAGGGAGGTCCATAAACCTGTAGTCTGAAACATTGTTGTCTCAATGGGCAGAAGACACATATAAGAGGAAAACAATCCATTTGCATATAAACTTGCAACTCAGATTTACTGCAATAAACAAACCCAACATTATTTATTTATAATTTAAATAATTCAGAAAAACAATACTGGCTGAATATTAGGTAGTTAAGCCTCAGGACATCAAGCTGAGGTAATTTACCAAAATATTTTATTACCCTTAAAATTCATACATTTGACAAATTACTGCATTGCCATACAGAGATCCAAGTGGACACCTCCTCACCATCCCCCAAACTTGTGCAATTGGCATATTATAATTCCACAGTAAATTGTGCCTTCCAACTACTATCAACCAACAAAAACAAATTAGTAAAAAAGAAAATAAACCCAACACCTATATTACAGTCTTTATCAACATAAAATACTGGAAACAAATATTGCATGGAATGCTAAAATCTATGCTCTATATTCTTGTAAGTAGTACTATTAAAAAATAGAGGTACATTTATTCCAAATCCTCTGAAATGGAAAATACTTGCCTAAGAGTCCAACTAGATGAACGGACAGAAAAAACAAAGAGCAAGAGCAAAATATGCTCTTCACAATCTCCACACCTCAGATCATTGATCCACGAAACTCAAACTCAAATCTGTTCCAAAGAGATGTTAGAAGAATGTAAGTGTTCCAAGCTGGCCAAAAGAAATGCTGAATCCACAGATGATCTTCTACATGAATTTCCATGCGCTGCAATGCAGACAGAGTTATTGCTCTGTTACCATAACAAGCCAGTTGACTTGGAAACTGCACAATACCAAGAAAACATTTCAAACTAAAGCTATGGAAAAGATTTTTTTAAATTAAAAAAAGTTCATAGTACACATAGCAAAGTTTCAAGTCACCACATTTTCAACTTTGCAACTCTCCTTAGGAAATGTAAGGAAAATGTATTATATGAGCCATTCTTGCATGCCATTTGCATGTTAATACCTATTTCTCCCCAAGTTTGGTGGCTTTTTCAATTTCCTGAAACACTTATTGCCAATGGCAGGACTCTGTGTTGTTCAAAGAAATATGCCGATTTGGCAAGCTGGAATTTTTAACTATATCTCTGACAGGATGTCAGCTTCTTGGACTCTGCAAAGTGATATTCTACTCTCCTACAGGCTCATCCTGACAGTCAGACCAGATGGACCATATTAGCTCCAACAAGGACTATAAAAGAATCTGAAACTCTTCGTAAGTCAAAGAAAATAAGTATTGACAGACAGAATAGCTCTAGAGAAAGGAGGAAAGAGGAGAAAAAAGCTTAAGAAACAGTTTCAATTTGTTGTTGCTTATATAACCAGTAATATACCCAGAACAAGGTATGAACAGACTATTATCTGATATGCGGGCATGTGTTAAGAAAAAGGTGAGACCGTTACTTGCTGATAAGGAATCATATACACAACACAAGGCACATTCCATTGTACATAACCCACTGAAAAAAAAATATATTGGCCAAATCCAAAGCTGATGACAAAAGTATCATTTCAATCTGAGGCTTAGGAAAAAAATTAGTCAGCACGTATCTCATTTAGTATCTGTCGAAAATCTTAGCCTCAATATATACAAATATTAGACTGTTCACAGCTGTGGCTATCAAAATACAAATAAAAAAACTTCTGTTATATTGTCCTATCCAGAAAAAATAAGCCAAATCCAGTGAGTTAGCAATCACAATTCTATAATATATACCTCTGACCCTCAGGAAGAGTTATTCTGCACAAACAGAATTTACAGAATTCAAACTAACTTTCTCACTATGACAAAGATAACCACTATGTTACTACAGCACACCTTTTAAAAGTCATTGTATGCTACTCCATAAAGGAGGAAAAAAAAAAAAACCACTGTGAATTTTTCATCAGGTACATACATATATATATTTATAAAAATACATATATACATTGTATATATATAACTAGAGCTAAAATAAACACACAGAACACTTTAATTACTTTCTTGGTACTTTACCATAACAGAAATAATGTCAGCTGCTAAAAATAAATTTCTAACACCAACATCTCTAATAGAACAATGAGGAACTAACATAATTTTTGTTAAAAGCAAAATCCTCAATAAATTTTTTTCAATGAAAGAGATCAAAATCCAGATTTTAGAATTTCTATCCATGTAACATAAGCTAGTACTACTATTTCTCATCATAAATGCCGCTCCCCAGGCAGAGTCTTGGGATATTCATAAATATGCTTCATAAAAACCTTATTCTATAAGAACTTTTTTCTTAGCAACTCTTATACTTCACCAAAACCCTATTTCCTTATTAAGTAAACTAAGTGTAAATTGAGATTATCTACCTCATAAGCACAACAGATACGACGAAATCACAGAAGAATTTCATTTAAAATGTTCTCATTGATTCCTGCTTCACTGTGACTATACCATTTGCGCTGGAATTTTTCCTCCTTCCCCAAAATGCAGTCAGCATAAATAAAAATTATAAACTAATCCATAGTTAAAAGCAGTTAACATTCCATGAACAGTCTTCATTCTATTCTATCACTTTCTGACCTCCAAGTGTTAACTTCCTGCAAGTACAGCATTTTACCATTTGGTTTTTGGGGTGCTAGAATTTCTTGCACAATTTCTGCCTGTCCTCAAGTGATGCAGTGAATCCTTTTAACCACTGAAATGAAGCCCAAGTTTACTTCATAATACACAGGAAGGGATTAACCTCCCTGAAACTATTCCCTCAAACTACAGTTAGTGCAGATGCTTCAAAATAGTACACAGCATTGTTTAAATAGCAGTTTGCAGCATGAAAATGTGTTATAGTGACAGTCAGGTCTCTACACTTGAAAACGAGTCTTCATGCAGAATTTTATAGACTGGCTAATATAAACTACCAAGTCTAATAAAAAGATTAGAATTATTATTAAAAGCAACAAAAGACTGAAAAAAATCCTTAGGTTCTTTGTTGTATTTTATTCCTTTCACAGAAACAACATCCCAAGAACGAGTCCATTATACCAGCCACTTCAAGCTTTAAGAAGGGAATTAAGATCAAATAACGTACTCTCACAAATTTCAGTGGTATCCAAAACTAAAAATATTATAGCTGAAGTCTTACTACTATTATATAAATACCTGAAATAGTTTTGTATCAAAATCAATTTGATTTTTTTCCAGTATTCCACTATTCTTGTGGTTCATTCCAGCTACATAGTCTGCAACTCAAATAAACTTAATCCCTATTCTTTTTCCACAGACCTTAGCGTAAGTATGATCTCTAAGCAAACAAAACAAACAAACCCACAGACAATTAAATAGGATGAAAAACAAGGACACTGGAAATCTGTAATAGGGAAGGAAATTAAATCCAGGTATTCTGTGCCATAGTCACAAATTATACACTTTGTCTTTATATTTTCTTGAGTTCCACCTTTCTGAAACTAATCAGAAAAGAGGAATTATATTTCTACCAAGTAGTATTGAGAAAGTGAAAACCTTAAGAGCTGCTCGCATTCTGTGACATGGGTTCACATAACTATCTCTGACTAAAGGTGCTAACTAATCCACTATTTCAGTGTCTCTCCTCACACACTCCAAGGCCAGAAACAGGAGAATTACTATTCTCTTCCTTATTCCTGGGAGGTCAAAGAGACCTGACAGCAGTAGGAACAATCTCCCTGCTCAAGCAAAAAACTAATTCAATTCAATTGTTAGAACTGAGCACCTGAAATTCTATTACGACAAAAATCATCCAAATATGTTTTCAAGATGATTACTACCGATGTTCATGCTACTAAGCATGTTAGTTATTTGATCTGTCCCCTTACCCATAATTAAAATATCATGTACTAGAGCAATATTTTTGCAAAGATTATTAAATCTTAAACCTACCATCTTCCATTCTGTTGTATATGTCTAAATGAAATACAGTGAATATTGGTTACCATAGTAACCACAGAACTGAAGAAATTTAGTTTTAGCATAATTGCTGCATATGTTCATAGAAATCACATCTCTTATTCTAAGCATTAGAAATGAAGACACTTTTGAACTCCATTTTTTAAAAATAGAGTGATGAAGAAACAAAAAATTAGATCAAGTATTTATAGATGTAACACAACATATTCTTGTTTAATTCACTCGTTCACTTTTCTTTTATAATTAGAGTGTATTTAAACCATTTAGTTAAATACTGTTTAAGTTATTTTTTTACTTATTGATAATTAAGCCAGTTCAGGGTTTGTCATTAAATTCAAAATACTATTTTAGAATAATAAATACATTATTAGTCAAACATCCAGAAATGGCTAAAGAAACTCCAGCAAAAATAAACACCCCCAACAGCCTCTGACAAACTTATTTTGTTTTTTCACTTGCAATGAGCTTTACATTCAATATGGATGAATTTGTTTCTTTAGTTTCAAGAAATAGTAGAAAAGGAAAAAACGCTCTAGGCATGCTGACAGTCTTACAACAGCATAATTTTTGCAGTAGGATTGAAAAACACGCATTCAGCAAGAACAAATTAACTCAATTCAACCAGT